GTCATCTTGTTGATTCTCATCTGTACTAATCAGTATTAAAATAGCAGTTACGTTGTGTGTTGTATCCACATATTAATCAAAAATGAAAACAATCATTGGTTGCAGCCCTACTTAACTTGGCTGCAGTCAGAGTGGGTGTCATTTCTGTTAATGGTGGATAACTCTTTTTGGAGTAAAGCCATTAATATGTTGTTGTTTTTTTCTCTCACAAGAGACAACTGCTGGGAATTGATCTGTGAAGTGCTCCGAGTTGTGACGTGAGGAACCACAACTGTGGCTGCTCCTCTGTGCGCCTGCCGAGATAATCTGTCCAGACTAGATAGATTTTTGATTTGGCTGTAGGTTTCTGAAGAAGCAGCCTTGCCCGGACCTTTTGTTTTATTCATTAGTTCACTCAAGACTTTTCCACAGCAGCTGATGCTAATAGCCTTGGTCAGGCTTCTTATCTCCTGTTCCTCGCCTGATTCATAATGCCTTCAGGCGTAGGAGCTCAGTGCGCTCATTTAGGATGGCAATTATGTGAGAGTGGCAGTGATCACTCTCACTATCTCCGCTCAGTGAAAAGGAGATAGAAAATTGCATTGAGTATCCAGTATTATCAGTGATAATTCTGCATGTCTGACAGACAAGATGGTGACTTTTACTGTGACTTAATAGTAAGCTTTAAAAACTTTAAAGTGACAGGGAAAGTTTTCACACTGTCGGTGTATGTAAATGGATGACTGCTCAAGAGCCTGAGCTTGTTCCAATATTCACTTTACCAGGGGAAATTAGGCCTTCACACCCATCCCCGGGTCCCATAAGAAGAGGAAGGATACGGGGCAAATATATACACCAGAGTTGAATGGCCAGGGCTTTTATTTATTTATGAGAGGAAGACCGGGGAAGGAACAACAATGCTAATCCAGACGAGGAAATGCAGCACCCTTGTGTTTGAAGTGGGCTCGTTGTCAACCAAGCAGCTGCTGACATCATGTGAATAGACATTGCCCAGACCACATTTGACGGGGGCTGAGAGGCAGCGAGCAGGAGGGCAAAGAGCTGAGGCACACCAGTGTTATGGTGCTCTCACTGTGCAACACTTACAGTACTGCAGGGTGAATGGATTCGGATGAATTTGTCTGAAGCAGTCTGGGTCTGCTTGTAGGTGCCCGAGAGCAGATGAGGAAACTCTGATTACTTTGGTAAGATTGTCGTTAACTTTTGCTTTTATCTTTTGATGCATCGTTTGACCGCAAGAGCTGTAATAGCTGAGCGTCTGTTGTGTCCTGCAAGTTGATAAAAATTTACATTTGTTAAAATTTTTTCTGAGATGAGACATAACAGGTGAATCCAGGATTAGCTTGACGGGGGCAAAACATGCATTGCGTACATACAATGGCACTGACAACTGCTAAAAAATAACCCCCCCTCCAAAAAAAAACTAAGGTTAGGATTTCTGATATGATGTTGGGTGTGTGTATTACTGAGAGTGCAGTGCAGTATGTTGGTAGGATTCCAGTCTTTGTTTGTGTGTAGCATTTTTCTTTTCTTTTATAAAGCAATGAGGGTTTTTAGGATTTTATTTGAGCTGAATGGATTAATTTGATTAGATTAGAATTTGTTTTTAATAGTCGGTTAATCATTTAACCAACTAAGACATCACTTATCCTCTGATTTGATTTTCAAAAATTAGCCAATTAAGTTATATTTTCCGAAATGATTAATGATTAATCGCTTTTTGATTTTGGTCATCCGGATCATGTCAAACCTAAAGGATGAACTTAAAGGCAGTTCAGTAAATATTTGGGGTCAAAAAGGCCAGTGGAAAAGTTTAGTTGCCCCGAGAGGCAGATGGAACTCATCCTTGTGGAGGCTTTTTGCCTCGTCAATAAATGCAGCAGAATTAGTTGACAGACTTGAAATTGGTCATGTAGACGGTGCTAATGGATGTCAAAATCAGCGACGAAGCCCGTCTTTGTGTGGGTTATTGCAGATAATGTCAGTTTATTACACACAAATCAGGCTTAAAAGGCTCCGGCGGGATAGTAGTGAGCCTGCCTCTCTAATGGGCCCAGTGTAAGTGGCTATGCTGACTCATATTCCCCCAGTGATCTCAAAGGCTTTTGTTTCTAATATATCCATGCCAAAACCTCTCCTGTTACATGTCACCTCGCCCAGTGTGGTCACTGTTCAGACTTGTCATGATGGAAAACTCTCCCTGCGTACAGTATGTATGTTGCATTTATTTTGCGTTCACAGTGAGGTTAAAGTGCTTTTTGTGTACATGTGACAATGCAGCCGCTTCCTCTCAGAACAGAGGATTTAGCAGAATTTGAAATAGGATTGTGTTCCTGAAATAACTTTTGTAGAGAGTATCCCCACATTGGAAACGATCCACGCAGACGGTGCGGAGCAGGAAGGAGAAGGGGAAAGAGAGAGAGGCTAAGCTGAGTTCAGATCATGAGCTGAGCTGCAGTGATTTCCCTTTTGAGGATTGAGTTGTTATTGTCTTGAGTGAAAATACACACCTGTGACATTTGTCTCGTGGTAGTGTTTCCAGCTGCAGCTGTGTCGAGTTTCCGTGCGTATACACAGTCCTGCCTTTCACATAAAGGCAGCCTTTTTATTTAACTAGGACATGCACTTTGAGAGAGCTGTAAGTCATAATTTCTGGAATGTGGTCATGAGCTACTGTGAGAAAGCTGTAAATGATGCACGGCTGGCATCATATCTATGTGATAGGTCAAAAATATTACATACACAATGTGACTTTAAGAGGACATTAAGAATGTAAAGATAGACTGCGAGACAGTTGAATCTATTTATTAGAATAGGTGAGAGGAAAGATTAATCCTGATATCAGTTGTGGTAACAAGATGCAAAGACATCAGTTTTACTTCACAGCAGCGAATTTGATGATCCATTAATAATTTTTAGCTAGGAAATATGCCAAACATTTGCAGGCTCTAGCTTCTCATATATGTGAGGATCTGCTGTGTTTTATAACATTATAAAATGAAAGCATTCTAGTTGTTGTTGCTTCATAAAAACAAGACAACATCCCCTTGGGTTCTAAAAATTGTGAAATTTTTCACTTTTCTGACATTTTACTGTGTAGACTGAACAATAAATAGATTAATAAAAAACAAAATCATATTCATTGCAACCCTACATGAAGCACATGATTATTCTCTTATTAAACCCAATAAACAAGAGCTGAAATTAGTTCAGTCACACAGAAGGTCGTCAGTGTCTTTTACAGATCGTCTGCTTCCAAGTCACTTTACATGTTCATTTGCATTATACAAATCACAGCAGGTGAACAGCAACAGCCTACGCTGCTACAGTCAGTCAGCCGGCGCGACAAAAACAAGTTCATCATCACAGTGAGCTTTGTGGATATCAGGGATAAAGTGATTTTTTTTTTAAAATGCAGCTCCATTAAACTGGTTCTGCCACAGCTGAGACCAGGCAGTCGGGCACAGAAGAGTGTAAACACGTGCCGAAGAGCAGAAGGCAAAACATCATCACCACCACCATCATCATCCCTCCATGGAAACCTGTTAATGATCTCATGGTAGGATTTGATCCACATGCGCAGGCAAGCCGACTAATTAAACAAACAAATGGCAATTAGATGGGGCTCCCATAAGCCACATAACCACTGGGCCAGTGGAGTAGAAATAGGCAAACATCTCAGAGCACACACACTTGTGTGGATACACAGCCAGTTCTGGTTGTTTGCTTTGTCAAAGATACCTCTCCCAGTGAAAGGAGCTGCAATCTGAAGGGGTAGTTTGACATTTTGGGGAATGCGGTTATTTGCTGTTTTGCAGAGAGTTAAATGAGAGGATCAATACCACTCTCATGTGTGCAAGAACTATGAAGCTACAGCTAGCAGCTGATTAGCTTAGCACAAAGACTGGAAATGGGTGTAAATAGCTAGCATGGCTCTGTTCTATAAAATGTCAGGAAATATTAGTTTCCCGCACTCCAAGGTGACATCTGCAAATTGTTTGGTCCATCCAAAACCAAAATATAATCACTTTAAAATGATATTAGAGAACATTTGAAGAACCAGATAATAATTGACATTTCGATATCTTCAATATCCAAATTCTCTGATTTGAGATTCTTAAATGTTCTTTGTTTATGTTATAGTTCTCTATGGCAGTGAACTGAATATCTTTGGGTTGTAGAACTTCACCTTGGCCTTCAGGAAACACTGATCAACATTTTATGAACCAAACAACTAATGAAATATTGAGAAAATGATTGACAGATTAATTGATTGTATTATTATTATTATTGTTTGCAGTAAACCACAAAAACAGGCCTGAACCTGAGTTTAAATGATCACAATTGCAAAATTGTTTAAAATTAGACATTTTCTTCACTGTTCAGCACTAATTAGTGATTAGTGAAAGCCTCGGCTGTTTGAACTAAAGCCGTACTGTAGGTGTAATTATGAACCTGTGAGACACTGGCCTCCCACGGTGATCTGGCTCACTAATGAATGTACAACCTGGCTATCTAGATGCCAATCTATCAGAGGATCACACCACCATCTGCAGTCGGGAATACAGAGTGGCTCTTGTGTTTAGTGGAAGCACTCAGGGAAATGCCAGCAGCCCAGAACTCACTGACATTTCCTGAGGTACACGCTCCTTACCTACAGGAGCTTAAAGATTGCCCTTTACTGCAAATTTCCCATTCTCCAAAAAAGCACCGCCTACGTCCGTATGGCTCGTGACCTCTCAGGGAATGACCCTGGGTGCTTCCTTTTTGGCGTGGAGAACACATACTGTACATAAAAGAAAGAAAACAATTGTGGGACCTTTTGAATGAGCCTAAAAGAATGTGAGTGAAAGAGTTTGGGAACAGACTGGCCCCGGGTCAGCGTGTCACAGCCGAGTCTGCCAGCTAGTTTTTATTCCTCTCTCATTCCTTCTCTTGTTTCCCTTCGAGACTCTTCCCTTCCCATCCATGTTCCTTAAAGATTCATAGTCTAGCTGCTCAGCTGTTCTGTCGTAGCTGAAGTGTTTTGCATGCTTTATTAGTGAGAATGTCTGTAGCTGTTATGGCGTTAGTTATGCTGCCCATGCACAGCAGCGAGGTCTAATCTATCCGTGCTGGACCGTGGGGGGATCTTCAGGGACTGAGGCTGTAGAGGAACAGCTGGGACGACATTTACTGTCTAATATCAGTGTGTCTAGGTTTCCTTCTCCTTTTCTTTGCTTCAGAGCGCTACTTCCTACTACGACTTTTATTTTTCTTCTTTTTCCTTTTCTTTTCTGGAGCAGTCTTATTTTTTGTCCTCTTTTTCTCCGAGGAATTACCAGCTGTATAGTGTTTTAGAGGTTGGCAAGATCCATGACCTAGTTAAATATGGACAGGAAACAGAAGAGGAATGAATGGCTAATGGAAGCTCTACTTACTTTTTTGCTCTTTCTGGCCCCACCTCTACTTGTGCTGTGAATGGTTAAAGCTCTTTTACTCTCTCTTCCCATATTGATCAGGGCTCTTTCCAGCCGCCCTCTCCTTTTTTCTTTTTTTTTTTTTTTCGAAATCCTTGCTGCGTAAGTACCTTTAGCACCGACAAATGGACTCTAGTAGAGGGGTATGACTTTACAAGTGAGAGATTTTGAACAGCTTTTTGTTTTTCCCGATGTAATTAGGACAAGCAATTAGCACAGATGTCAGTAGTGCCATTAATCGCTGTGCAGAAATAGTAATGGAAATTATTAACACCTTCATTCTCCTTTTTTATCAAATCTCTCCCAGCTGCCGGCCATTCAGGTTGTGGAAGTGCTTCTGAAGTGCTCCCTTTTCTGCCCACTCTCTGATTCTGCATTGGTCATCCTCAGTTGCCTCTTAAATAGCTCAGCACTGTGAGAGAGATATATATATATATATATATATATATATATATATATATATATATATATATTTTTGGTCTCTAGACAGTATTCCTGTGTGTCACGTTGATTCTACTGAAGTAGAAATTCGCAGGACGCAGTGGTCTGTCCTCCCACGGGTCAGCGGGGTGATTTATGTGCTTCTTGCAACACCTCCGCAGCCGTCTGATTTCCTCCTCCTCCTCTTCCTCCTCCTCCCTCTGGCAGGTGTAATGAGAGCGCTGGTCATGGACAGATGATGGACGTGGAGACGTCGTACTCAGACTTCATCAACTGTGATCGCACAGGCCGCAGGAACGCAGTGCCCGACATCGCAGGGGAGGGGGAAGTAGCGGCCAGCACCAGTGAACTCACCAAAGACATGGCAGAGATGGACCTGAAGGCTGCAGGTCAGTAAAGCCACATCTGAATTCTCTTGTAATGCAGTGAGCAGTAAGCAGAAAAAATTTGCATACCGTAGACTGAAGACCTGGGGCCGGTTTCACAGAGATATTTTAGACTGGTTTGTAGAGTTAGGCTAGTCTTAAAGGGTAACTGTTGCATTTTTCAACCTGTTTTTGTGACTAATGGGGACAGCAATTTTAGAATTTAGTCCAGCATTGAGGGAGAGCGCTGACGCCTGCAGCCGCAAAACAGGCTACAACATAATCCTTGGGGGCAAAAGTGAATTAAAAGAGCTTGGTTTTGAACAAGCACGAGGCTTCTCCTTGAGCTAGACTTGGTTAGACACACAGCAGATCAAGTGAAAGGTGCAGAAAATTTAGCTTTTCTCTGTAGGGTCGTGTTGTCAGACTCTTACAATAACAATTTGTTTGCAAAAAGAAGCATTTTAATGGACATATGACTGTGCGCAATTGCTCAAAAGGATTACACAGTGGCCTGTTTTGCAGCTGAAGGCTGCAGCGCTCTCCCTCGATCCTGGATCAAATTCAAAACTTGTTGTCCCCATTAGTCACTTTGACATATAGATACAGGAAAATAAGAGGTTGAAAAATATAGCCGTTACCCGTTACTTTTGCCAGATTAGTCTAATGAAAGTTGGAGGTTAAGACTCTGTTTATGGTTTTGGAAACCAAAAAACTTTAAGTGCTGCAGGAAAACCTGTTGAACTGTGAAGCTGCAGTCAGACAGAATCAGGGTCTGACAACGTGTTAGAGAGAATTTATGAGTCAGGTATAAAGTGTATTATTCAGCTACCACCATCACCGCTACTACCCTCACAGCTAGTGTTATTTACCCTAAAATATTGGAAAAATAGTAGAAGATGGCTCATGAATTGTGGTTTGCGAACAATGTTATGGAGTTATTATTAAGAAAGGAGTGAGGATGTTATCAGTAATTTTCGTTTACCCAGAGAAACTATCCTGAGCCTGACTGATGAGTTCAAGTACTGAGCTCTGCCACATGAGAAGCCACAGCAGCTCAGCTCTGCTACATGTAGTTTGTATCGTTACTCGCTAAATCCTCCCACTAAAACATCCTTAAAACTGTTGAATTCAACATTTTCTGCTGGAATAAACCAAGCTGATCGGTTTGACGCGCTTGTTCATTCAGCCATGTTCTCTAGTTTGAATTTTTTTTTTTATATTCACGGCAAACTGATCCTCATGAAGGTAGTAAAGAACTATACAGCTTTTGTCTTTGAAACAGCTTAATTAAAGTCTGAATATTAGTTTGTACTACTAGTCCAAGTGTATATTTGTGAAGCCTGCTCCTGGACACCTCATTGCACCAGAATATCAAAATACAAACCGGTGGTGTTCCTCAGCTCGTAGTCTCAGTGAGACTTGATTGTTGTGCTTTGTTGCCTCGGCGTTAAATGAGTCGTAACGGCAGCACAATGAAACATAGTCCTTCCTTCCTCTACTCTCAGCAGTGTCAAGTTGTTAGAAGGAACGTCTCAGCATCGTGTATTAAATCGCCATTCTCGCTGACTTCCTTTTCAGTCATTCCCATGACATGATAACCACTTTGACTGCTATAAATCAAACTACTCTAATGCTGGTCTGGGGGGAAGACTCACATTTGGAAATAATCTCATATCATGCTTGACACTGTGTTGCACAGGAAGTTGTAGTTCCTTCCTCAGGATTCTCATTTTTTTTTCTTTCTGGAGCCTGAAGGCAGATTTATTGCCTTCTGTTGGGAATACCAAAACACTCAATGATAATATACTACAATCTTCCACTGATTTCTTTTATTTTATTGTTTATTTTTTGTGCATATTTTTTCCTGTGTTTTCTTTTAGAAGGAGCCCCAGGGGCCTCCCCAGCCCCTGAGGCAGAGGGCTCCACCAGCCAAGATGCCCAGGGAAGTGGAGGCCCGTCCTAAACTCAGCCGGTGACCGAAAGGGGGGCAGAGCCGAGGAGTGAAAAGTAGAGAGGAAGCAAGTGAAAGTGGAGAGACATGAAGAAAGGAAAGAGAGAGTGTACATTGGTTGTCCTAAATGGACATGAGGACACCTTCGCCCACTGCCGGCCTGTTTGGAGCCTCAGCGGCCCAAATGTACGCCTTTTCATCGGATCAGATTGTAACACGGGGGAGCAGAACAGAGTAGAACTGACAACTAAGATGATGCTCTTTTGCTCCATCCTCTGTTAGTCATTAATATTCCTGACAACAGAAGAAAGCACAGAAACTCTATGAATTTATGTCTGTGGAGATGGACTGAGCTGAACAGAATTCATTTATAACACTCGAAACATCGTTCCAGCTTAATATGGAACTGTGTCATGGAGGGCGTATTCATAATCATCTGTTTGTCATTTTCTTTCTATGTATGTGTGTGTGTGTTTGTGACCCTCTTGTTCAGTTTCACCGTCAAGTCTTTTCTTTTTTTTAGTAACAAACATAGTCGCCATTATACTGTCGTGTACGGACTTCATATTTATTGCTAAATGTTCAGTGATAACTTTGTGATAGAAATTTTCTTTGTGTAATAAAATACTTATGAATTACTGTAATATTTGTATTTTATGTTCCCAAGCACAATTATCTTTTCACCCGGAGCAATTTACCCGGTTTCTGTTGTATTGAACACAGCAGGTAAGGGATCTGCAAAGGTGGCGAGTCCCAGCCATTCAGGATTAATGAGTTCAGTGCTGAGCTGTTCCAGAGCCATAAATATTATTGAATGCAGCTTTTGTGTACATTAGCATGGCCACAGGAAGCCAGTGCTTACATTTCCACCTAGCATGGCCCCAGTGTTACCATTAATCTTTATACAATAAAGAAACAGAGGATGACAGAGCAGTTTATCTGTTAAGCTGTGGGTTTTCTTTTTTTTTATCAAACTCAAGTATATAGATATATAGTGTATATAGTATACATAGTGTACATAAGTATTACTATTATAAGGAAGATGCATATAAATGACTGTAGATTATCAGCATAAAGAAAGAGATTGCAGAAAGATTTTAGTAATAGCTTTTATTATGCTCAAAGTGTCATAAATGTGTTCGTTATAATGGAAGTTCTTTTTTTATTGAGTGAAAGGAAGAAAAAAAAACAATTTAAATAAATATATACATCAAAATAATTGAGAGTAATTACGAAATGCAAAACCACTTTAAGTCAGCTGTGGTTTGTCCCTGTAGGTGACAGCATTGTGCCACCTAGTGTTCAAATGTTAGACTTTTGGTATTGAGCTGTTTTACCTGATGTGTTCTGTAGTTATACATGTGGAGGATAAAAAACACATATTTATATGTTTCTGACACTGGATTCCCCTTACTTCACTCTTAAAACCAAACAATGGATATTCACAGTAAACCATATTTTCCCCGTAAGTTCTCAACCTGTACTGCTTTAATTGCTCCTTCACAACATGCTTTCACCCAAAGATGTTCAGGACACCATAGCAATGACAGATGAACAACAAATAGCCCCCCCGTATCCTTCCCTTAAAGGCTCACAAATTCGTAAAAGTAATTGTGCATCAAAAGCTTCCCTGATTCTCTTTATGACAACAGGATGTAAACACGAGATGAAGATTGTATCCAGAGTTTTGCCGTACGACAAAATCTGCTTCATAAACACAAAACATTTGCATGCACATATTTTTTTCCGCCTTGCAGAGCACCATGACATCCTCCAGAACTGCGCTGTAAACTGAAGTTTTAAAGCTATCTAATTACTTTAAAGGGATAATGACAAAACACAAGCAGATGATGGTCAGGTATGAGAGGTGAAGGCAGCAGCCATATGATAGACATGTTCGATATATAATTCTATAGGCTTTATGTTTGGTTACAAATGAGGAAAAAGACATTCCATTGCGTCAAGTGTGGAGATTAAGGGTTCAGAGCGGTTTTTCCCTGGGTTAGGTTCCTCTTCAGACTTCCTCGTCAGGTTTAAAAGGCAGTGCTCTGCACCATCCCGTAGGCCTCTTGCAGTTTCATGATGAGCTCTTTCTTCTCCTTCTCAGGCAGGAAGCATGACTCTGCAGATTTTATGTTCTATAGGACACAAAAAGTCAATAAGTTACACATTTAGTGTTCTTCCAAATAGTTAGTGATTTAACATTTAAAGAGAAAGTTCAGCAATGTGGAAAATGTGCTTTTTTTGATTGATATTTATCTCATCTAAAGTAAAGAAACTACAGTCAGTGACAACAAATCTTTGAACTCAACAGAAAGTTAAAATGATTTAAATCAGCAAAGTTACTTTTTAATTCACACCTCTAAAGCAGATGGCTAGCTTAGCTTAGCATAAAGACTTGAAACAGGAGAAAACAGACCCACTGCTGGTTGCCTGGCAACCTCACAGCGATGATGAGACAAGTCACTGCTCAAAGTCAGGAAATAGTCCGACACATAACCACCATAAACCATGAGCTGTTTTTACACTTTGGTTAAATAAATCTAAATATATAACATGGTAATTATTAGAGTGCTTTAGAGCTTTAGAGGTGCCGTTGGCGGTGCTGTTTGGACAGAGCCAGGCCAACTGATTTCTTCTCGTTTCGCTAACTGGCTGCTGGCTGTAGCTTCGTATCTACCGTAGCAGATAGTGAGTGGTATTGATTTTCTCATCTAACTCTTGGCAAGAAAGGAAATCAGTAAATATTTTGTCAAACTGTTCCTATGATGATTTAATGCAAACTAAGGCCTAATGGAGCCAGGATGTGAAGCACAATTCTTCACACGTTTAAAATAAATGAAGAATTGTAATTATTAAAAGGATCTGAGGCTTTTCAAGGCACAGCAGAACACTTCTTTTATGTAAGCTTTTGTTCCTGCTTTAATTATCAACTGCGGAAGGCATTGCCATGCACAGGGCATCTCCACCCCATGCAATCATTTCAAACCACATTCAAACAGCCTCCATCCTGTGAACCACCGCTATAATTATGCATGTATTTCATCTCACCAGTCGTTTGAATTCCTCCTCGGTGAAGCCCATGTATTTGTGCGCGGTGTTGTAGTCGAGGTGCAAATTTGAGTTGAAGATCAGAGGGTCATCTGTATTCAGGGAGTAGTTAGCCTTGTCCTTCATAAACCTGCACAAAGGAAATGAGGTGGTATGAGGAAGTGCCCAAATGTACTTTAATGCAGGTTAAAAATATTATCATGTAAAATAAGTGC